GAGGCATACAGAACTCCAATTAACCATGACTAAAATATGTCTATCCCAAGGCATATAATAAACAAGATTCTAGAAATTCAACACAATACCAGAATATTCAAAGCTGTTAAAGAAAGGAAAAATCACCTCTAAAGAAAGACTATCAGAATCACCGGAGAATTCTCTTTTTTTTTTTTTTCCTTTGGTACCAGGGATTGAGCTTAGGTCCTTGCGCTTGCAAGGCAGGCCACCAAACCACTGAGCTAAATGCCCTGCCCTCACAAGAGAATTCTCAATAGAAACCTCTAAGTCAAGGAGAGCTTAGAGTGAAATATTTCTAATGCAAAAAAATAAAAATAAAAACAAAGCTACCTCCAACAAAAATTGATTTACACAACAAAACTATTTTTCAGAATCAATGTAGAAATAAGATACTTCCATGAAAAAGAAAAAAACCTAATAAATTTATGACCAAACAAACTATCTCTACATGGGTGCTGAAATGTGATTTCATTTCAAAGGAGATAATAAAAACCACAATTCAAAGAACATAAATAGAAAAAAGATCTTTCAGGCTGGGTGAGCAATTAAAGGGGAAAGACAGGTAACCAACAGTAGGAAAATAAATTGACAAGTATAAACCAATATGTATCATTGAAAAACATCAATATAAATGTCCTCACCTCACCAATTCAAAGACATAGACTGACAGAATGGATTGAGAAACAAGATCTAACTATTTGCTTTATATAGGAAACACATTTAACACAAAAACAAATTCATAGACTGAATGCCAAAGTATGGAAGACAACACCTCTTGAGACAAACTTCTAGAAAAAAGCACTGATAGCTATTTTATTTGCAGGCAAAGTGAACTTCAAGCCAAGACTGAGCAAAAGAGGCAAAAAAGGTCATTACATATTTGGTAATGGCAAACTCCAAGAGGAAAAGATAACACTCATAAATATATATACACTAAATCCCAGCATATACAACTTTATAAAAAAAAATAAAAGACATAACAAATCCCATAAACACTAGCACAATCATAATGAGAGAAATCAATAACCCACTCTTACAAATAGACAGATCAACTAAGAAAAAAAATCAACATAGAAATATTAGAACTGAACCAAATATGTGAACATATGTTCTTATTAGATGCATAGGGATTGTTCCACCACACAATATCACAATACATTCTTCTCCCTTACCCATGGTAAGTTCTCCAATATAGATCATATTCCAGCAAATAACACACTTAATTAAATTTAAAAGAGTTAAAATTATCCCACTCATGTTATGTGGCCATCATCGAAACTGTAAATCAATGGCAAAAGAAATCACAAGAACTTCATAAACATATGGAAATTAAACCACACCCTTCAGAACAACCAATGGGTCATAGATGAAATTAAACAAGAAATCAGACAGGGTATGCAATTAAATTATAAGACTGATAAAACTTATGGGAGGCAATGTATTCAGTCCTCTGTGGGAAACATATAGAAGTGAACTCTCACATCAAGAAAATAAGATAGGTTAAAATAACCTGATATTAAACTTCAAAATTTTAGAAAGAAAAAAAAAGAATGAGTCAAGCTAAGAGTCATATGAAGGTGGATATTATAAAGACCAGAGGAGAAATTAATGCAATTGACACTACAAAAACAATATAAAGAATCAGTGAATTGAATAATTTTTGAAAGATTAAATGAAATTGACACTTAGAAAAAAAAGACACAAAGAAAAAAAAGACACAAATCCATGCAGATAAGACTGAAAGGAGTGGAACCACAAAGTATTCTACAGAAATCCAGAAAATTATAAATACCTACTGAGGTAATTTAAAACTCACAAAGTGAAGCCAGTGTCCTAATGGATTCACTGCTGAATTCTCCAAGAAATTTAGAGGAAGTATAATGCCAATATTCTTCAAACAGTTTACTGAAATTGAAAGAGAAGCAATACTCCCCAAATAACTCCTGGCAACAAGCATTATCATATACTGAAATCAGAAAATGATCCAACCAAAAAAGTGAACTATAGTGACAGGAATTCAGCTCAGTGACACTACTTCTGCCTGGAAAATGGAAGATCCTGATCCTGATTTCG